GTGTGTGTATGTGTGTGTGTATGTGTGTATGTGTGTGTTTTTACTATTTTTAAAGCCGATGCAAAGGTGTGTGTGTGTATGCTCCATACATGAAACTACCGTATTTCACAACATTAACCACTTACTATCGTCTCCTTCCTAATTTTGAAAATTAATATTTCTCGAAAGAGAGGTTGCAACTACTCCAGAACTAACTCATTACAATCGTTTGCATGATTTCGAATGCTTTACTACTAACGTTATCTGTTATGATGACAAAGGTTGAGTTTAGGATAATTAAAACAACTGAAGTCTACCACACATGAAGTCTGACTTTATTTCCTAGTCTATAATATATCATGATCTTGACAAACGGCCAAATGCCTGAAAATTCATGCTTCGATGAAAAGGAAATTAGAAAAAAAAAAAAAAAAAACGTTCACTGATGAAACATGCCAATTAGCGTTACCTCATGCTTACCATCCAGTTATTGTGAAGCTAAAAGTTACCGGCGACACAGACTTCTTTCTTTCCATCATAGGAATTGATCATCGGGAACTTTATTACTAATAATCTTGCAGTTAGAGATCAAAAATGAAAATCGCATTTAATTTTTTCTGAATTTCAAGTAGATACAGCTGTCCAAAATATCGTTATATCCATAAAAATCCTAATAAAGAAACTACATCATTTCTATAATGTCAAATTGAAACAGAACACTAGATGATAAAATTGCACAATAACAGATTACTTATTAAACTTTCTTTCTTACAAGTACCATATTTATTGATTACATGAATTTAACAACTAATTTGCTGACTTAAAAGAAGGCATTATAGGTTTTTCTTTTGTTAAACGGCCTGATTTTTGCATCCGTCATGATGTCAAATTTTTTGTTTGAAGAAATTCCAAAAATATGATAAAATACATCATACTCCCTCATCCAATTCTTCTTTCATCTTCCAGCTAAACCCAAATGATTTTTTTTCTTCATTACCGTTTAACAGAACACGTTAACTGTGTCGTCATTATCGTATGCTTGACTGATTATTAGAAAGAGAATAGATGGTTGAAGAAGGTGAAAAACTATCCCGTAAATTCAATGAATGTGAAATAAGTCTCTGAGACTGATCGATGATGCCATAACATTTCGCGATTATCTCCAAAATCCTTCTAATTAAATATTTAAATTGCAGTCTTCTTTTATATACGTTGAGTAATCAACTTTCAAATACTTTCTACAGTATTTAAAAGTTAATCCTTTACAGCCAAATTGCATAGATTGAATTCATGCTCTCTTCGTATAATACATTGAATAATTTGAACAAGATCGAAAAATAGTAAAAATTATTCGAGGTATTAGTTTTAGAATATTTTGAAGAGCATAAATTTGTTGTCCAATGACGTGTACCTCTCCCTCGGATTTCTGTTTGCTGCTGTGAAATGTCAGTCAATAAGGAAATAAAATCTTTTTTCTTACTTTTTTCTTTCTTTCTTTACTTTCTTTGCCATAAAGAAACTATGTTACATATTCTTCTGAATTGTACGAAAAAACCCAATAAAAAGTGAAAGATTCAAAATTCCGAATATGTGTTCAATATTATTTAGTAACTTACACCAAAGTTTTCATCCTTGCTTCATCAAAAGCCTCTGAAAGGCGTTGTTGATGATCGACAAGATTTGATAGATATCTTAAAATGAACAAAAAATGAAATTCGATAAAGGAGATTAAAACATCGTCAATAAATTCGAGACAAAAAAAAGTCTCTTCTCCCATTTTCTTGCTAAACTTTTCAAAATTTAAAAACCCAAAATTCATTTGAACTCGTAACTTTGAAATCCAATACAAAAACTAGTCCAATTTAAATGTATAATTGTATTACCTATTTCGCAATGGTGTCATTTTCTTGATCACTTCATTAACATCCGCACCATACTCGAGAAGTAGATAAATAGTTTTTGTCGCTTCGAAATTTGGCGGACGAGTGGTGAAAACCGCTAGCTGCAACGGTGTCTTTTTATCCTTATCTTCAGTATTTACTGGTGACCTGAAAATTTCGTATAAAATAAAATCTGAGTAATATAACCACATTACTATTACTACTGGGTTCAAGTATGTATTAAACAGCTCATTTAGGTCTATCTTAAATCAAGTTATGGTTAATGATGCATGCATAAATTATTATTAGTCAGATTTATTCACGAATTTAATTTGTAAAGACCGGCACAATGCTCCAGAATCAAACTTTTCATCCAACCCTTATAATTCTCGTTTAATTATGAGATGCTTGATCGAATCATTCTTTTGCATAACAATTTACTAAAACTAGCCTTAAATGTAGAAGAGTCTTGACCCGACACCAAAACTCGCAAGATATAGCAAAATGCAGTGGAATGCGTCCCCTTGTGTCGTCCGGTATATCCAGTCTTGCGCCGTCGCGGACAATTTGTCGTAACATGTCATCAGTTTCATGAGCCGGACCACAAGGTCTCTCACACAACTTAAAAAAAAGCAACTGTTCGGCTTAGATCGCTAAATTTCAATCATATATGCATATTACTCGCCAAATAATCATATTACTTCAATTGCAACAGTTTTGCCGCGATATTTCTGGTTGAAATCAAAACCGCGCCTTTCTGGTACGCAACGACCCGTCCATCTAACAGCCGAAAGTTGATTCGTCAAAACTGCACTTCGAAACTGCTGCAAATTTAAAATTTTTTATTTGATCTCTGACTGTGAAGCGTAATGTTAACTCCGAACTGTTTCTGAAGTATTTTAAAAACAAGAAAATTTTATCAGAGATGCGAAAACTAAGGTGACAGACTCAGTGCATTCTAGACCTTTCCTAAATATCACCAATAATATCAAGACTGTCATTATTCTACAAGGATTATTTCATATATCACTCCTCTTCATGGTTGCAACAGAATCCGTCACATATACTAATTCTTGAAATTAAAATTAATCAACAACTTGAAATTAAAAAAACTGGAACACCCAATTTCGGCTTCTTAATAATTAATGCAGCACAATTTTCAGATGAACTATTTCAACTTCAACTCATCAGTTATCTTTTAAATTCATAATTTATATCGATCACCTCAAATGTCTGTAGGGGCTTTTCGCGATTTTGTTGATGTCTGCGAATTGTAGCAATTTCGATAGCTGAAATCTCAGCACACGTCAAAGGTATTGGTAACTCTGGTGTTTCAAAGGCAAGCATTTCTAGCGCTGAAATGTCTGGTTCTGGCTCATCTGATTCATCATCTGCAGGAAGCACGCGAGCGGTGTTATCTACGTTTGGAGGTCCCTGAAAACCTTCATGTTTCAACCAAATCATAACTGTCTAGAAAATTAAATAATTAAAGAAATACTATAAGACTAGAGAGATATTCCTATTTTGATTTTATAACACAGTTAAAATAAAAACAACACACATCTCGTTCGGAAGTTTCTTCACTGGTACATACCCGCTTTTCAATAATGTCATCGGTATTTGTAGAGATTTTTCGCTTTCTGCCCTTAGTCGATCTGCTGTTGCTGTCAGACATCTCACTGGTATCCATTACAATCGCTGCACGTGAGGCAGTTGTTCGTTTCCCTCTGCTTCCCCTTGTTAACCCTCGACCGCGGGACTTACCCCGACAATTCATCGATGTATTTTCACACACTGAATTCGACCTCTCTTCATCAGATACCGGTTCCATTTCATCCACTACCAAATTTGGTATTTCATCATATTCAGCATTTGTTGGCCTCACTTCAGAATTAGCTGGTGATATGGCATCCTGCATCAGTTCTTTGAGAAAGTTTTGACAATGGATAAAATTTCAATGATGATTGCGGAAAACGAAAAAAAAAGTTTCAAAAATAATATTTTGCAAATGTTTTTTTAAAAAATATTCCAAAAAGCGCAATTATATAAAAACTGCATGAATTGCATGTACTGCATGAACCGTTTCCATAAGAAGATTGAGTTCTGCACCTCAATCAAACGGAGTGGTGTAGATGTTTTTTTCCGTCTTCCACATCCTCGGCTTCCTCCTCTGCCTCGTCCTGCACGTCTATTACTAATATTGCGAACTGAAGAGCTACTTCTAATAATTACAGACTGTTCGTCTTCCGTGGATGTATCCGCCGCCACAATCTGTAAACCATTATCGGCACACTTCAACAGCAACAGTTCATCTGGAATTTCCGATTTTACTGCAACTGCTGCTTCCGAAAAGGTTTCTAGCAGAGACTCTTTCCGTTCTTCCTATAATAAATCACTAATTGCTTACAAGCAGTGGAAATCGAAATTTTTAGACAAAACGATCAAAAAACTTTTCTGAAAAAGCTAAGAACACAACGACAGTCCAAAAACTACCTCAACTTTACTGCTATTTGTCAACATTTTGCTTTCGTCTTTGATAACACTATGTCGCCCATCATCGGTTGCTTTTTTCATATTTATCGATGTCCCATTTTTCTGCAAACCTGAGAAGTTTACAAACTTCTCATCAAAAGGTCTGTTTCAAAGGGATCAATCGGTATACTTGTGTGCTTAAAATTAATATTTCTACAGATGTTCATTTACACCTTCTAAGACATGTCAATGCTTTTTTCTTAGTTATACTGTATATATTAACTATCATTTATTAAAACAAAAGAAAAAGTTACTTTTCCAACTCGTCGCCTGCCTCTAGCAGCCTGTTTTTTACCAGAATCAGATGATAATGTTTCATTTATTGGAGAACTTTCTGTTTTCATAACAGTTTTCAGCTTATTTCTGGTGACACGTCCCACATCCGGGGCAAGATTACATAGCAGCTAAAACATATTTGTAATTTACTTAAAATTAATTGGTAGGTAAAAAACTCCAAAACTGAATGGTTAACATTATGAACTTTTTTAAAAACAATTTTAGTTGTGATAAAAAATATTTTGCATTGGATTAGAGCGAAGGCCCAAAATTTAATAAAGTTCAAGGTTAGCAAATATGAAAAGGCGGTTGTTTGAATCCGCATTAATAGATACACTCATCCTTATATACGACATTTCATCGTGCATTCTGAGATGTAGATATAACACTAAAGTTTTTTTTTCTTTCTTCTTATATTTTGAAATCATTTCGTGTGTTAAAAATAAATGAACTAGAAACACTTGAAATAAAGCAAACACATAAACTCATTATAAACCTTTTCTGTTTCAGTTGGAATTCGATCTGGAATATAAAGACCACCCAGTTCACGATTTTCAACATCACCAAATCGATTCCATTCATCTGGTGTGAGAACTTCAACTGTTTCGTACTCCCAGCGAATAGCATTGGGATGTCGGCTATTTCGCTCGGCGCTATTTTCCTGAAACAGCGATTGGACGCCTTAATTATTTAATTAGAAAAGTCATATAATCAGCTAGTGGTATCGAACGGCTCTTTTAAAAGGCCAAACAGATCACCATTTGTATCAAAGTACGCAAATAACTGACCGATGCATCATTGCTTCTACTAGTTGATGGCAGTAAATGCTTCCCATTCTCGTCATTTTTCGACTTTTGACTAACTTCATAATCGATAATTAACCGATCACAGCCATCCGTTAAATTCTCATACGGTTCCCAGGTATCTTCACTTTCGGAGAAGCCTTTCCATCGTACCTTATAGAGTTTTTCGCCCATCTCGTTCGTTTTTATCCCAACAATTTTTTCCACCTGCAAAGCTATCATAAGTTAATAATGCAAGAAAAAAAAAACCTTGATTTTACATGAGTTAATACTAACAAGCAACAGTTGCAAGTATTGCACATTTGTAAGAGATATGTAAACTTGAGATTCGATAGTCACATTTACAGAACAATGCTTACAATTATAAGTTTCGCAACCGCAATTATGGAAGTTAAGAATATCAAATATAGAATTACGATTAAAATATTTGCATCGCATAGAGCGATATCTTAATCTTAACTATAACATAATAATTCTATTCAAGTTTAGCTTGCTATCTGTTAATTAAAATTTATCATACCGCGTAAGTTTCTCCAATAATTTTCGATTTTGTATCAAGTTGAGCCAAGTCCGCTTCATCCGTAATTATCGATCCTACTTCGGATGTGTTAGCCATCGCGCTTTTGCCCGTTATTCTGCAAACAGTTAACATATCAATCAGTACTCTCGAGTAGTGTGCATAGTTCGCTTAGCACCGAAAGATAGAATACAAGCACACACATTCCGAACAACATTTCTCAACCACACACCAACCAACCCCTCATCCTGTCCCGAACAAATTGTCCGTCGGCATCTGAAACAAGGAAGAGGTCGATAATTACAAAACCAAACCACACCACCTAACTTTAATCCTTTTTGTGTTACTTTGACAAACGCTGAAGGAAATTTTTGATCTTATAATTTATTTCCGCAAGTATATCTTTTCCATTGTTCTAAGTTAGAATTTACGGTTAAATATTAGCTGAGCTTATGTTTAATTTTTTTGTCCCTAAAACTACATTCAGATTCTGTACCACAAGATTTTTGCATACAATGGGAATGAAAAGAAAAGTATTTGCTAATATTTTTTATTAGCGAACACTTCTTCTTTCAGGGAGTTGCAGTTCTCCAGTTGACAAAACACAATTAGACGACGAACTTTCAAACTTTCTGGGATTTAACAACTGATGGATTACACGTTGAATTTCGGGGAAATTATTGTTTTTTCTTCTGTGTATTGCAGAGAAAGGATGAAAACTTCATCAAATTCAGGACACTTGAAGGCACCCTCACCCACCATCCTTTAGTTTTGGCCAACAGTCCGATTGGTATTCCGCGGCCAAGTCAACCTTCACAGAAAGAAACGTTGACTTGGCAAGTTGTGATGATAGTTGTCGTGCATAACCGGGGGTTAACGTCTGTCCGATGAATTTATGTCTTCTTCTGTATTTCCCTCATTATTTATGTTTTTCTCTATCTTTTTAGAATGATCCCAGGATGTTTGCACCTTTTTTGACCTTCGTTGACATTATTTATTATATAATCGTCCAGTAAATGTATTAAAATATAAAATTAAAATATACTTCGAATGTTCGTTTAATTATCCATTCATTTGTTTCTTTGTCATTTTATTTATAAAAAATGATGAAATATACCAAGACATATAAAAAATTTATTCATTTTTATATTTGTTTAAATGAAATATTAAATGAAGAAAGAAGCATATACAGTTATGCATTTTCAACAAATAAACAAATTGTTAACAAGTAGAAGCCAGTCATTTTTACTGGTGACGTAAATGCAGTGCAATGGAACAGGCT